ACTTTACCAAATTGAAATTTGACTTCTCTGAGCTATGGCCCAAGATCAGACAAAAAAGGTGTTTTGCCTGAATAAGACCTGCAAAATAAATACTGAGATCAATATCAAAATAAGCTTTCAAATTTCAACCCCTCCCTCCTCCTATCACTCCATCATTCTTAATTATTTTTAGGGCCAGGAGCTTCAAAGATCTAGTAAAAGCAAATGCACTGGAAGGCATCACGATGGGTTCCCTAACAAAGAGTGACAGGCTAACACAGTGATATGTGCAGATAAGTCCCAGGGGAACGGGGCACAGGTGCAGAACGTGAAGTAGGGATAGCAGGATGGAGAGGAGGAAAATTTTGCCTAGAAAGAATCGTAATCTTCAGGGTAAGAATGAAAGCTGAGAGTGAAGGGTGCACTCAGACCTTCCATGACATCCCCGACACATCAGCCAGCTCTGCTCCAAAATACCTGATGGATGGAAACTTAAATTTTTCTGATACTCAGCAATGGTCCAGGCCTTGCTTCCCAAACAGTCTGTTAAGACATTTAGGGCCAGGCTGTCCAGCACAGTAATGGCTGCTGCATGTGGCAGTTAAGTGCTTAAAATATGACTTGGCTGCAGAGACACACTTTAAACATACAGCATTCACCACTCTCAAAGGCCAAGACTGAAAACCAGAGAGTACAATAACTCACTCATTTTTTTGTATGTATTCCCTGTTGAATTGCTAATATTGTTGATGCACTGGGTTAAATAACATTGTGAAAATTAATTTCACTGCTTCTTTCTTATTTTTATAGAGGCTACTAGAAAAAAAAATTGGTGATTTACATTATACTTCTGTAGAGTACCTGTTTAAAAATCTTTTGCTGCTTTCTCCTTCATGGACTAAAGACCAGACTGAGGAATTGCCCTCTATGTTATTTGCCTTGTACGTTGCAGCGATGAAGTTCTTAGAAAATGACCTTTTGGGACTGGTGCCATGGTGCAGTAGGTTAATATTCGCCTGCAGCGCTGGCAACCCATTTGGGCACCGGTTCGAGTCCCTACTGCTCCTCTTCCAAGCCAGCTCTCTACTATGGCCTGGGAAAGCAGTGGGGGATAGCCCGAGTGCTTGGAACCCTGTATCTGTGTGGGAGAACTGGAGGAGGCTCCCGGCTCCTGGCTTTGGATCAACACATCTCTGGCTGTTGCAGCCATTTGGGGAGTGAACCAACGGAGGGAAGACCTTTCTCTCTGTCTCTCCCTCTCACTGTCTGTAACTCTGCCCTCTCAAATAAATAAATAAAAAGAAAATGACCTTTATTGGTTTGAAACCAGATATCCTAAGAAATAAAGTGATAAATCACCGAGCCTTAGCCCAGAGAAGGATCCAAATGACTTGAAAAAGTACACAGGTAGATCCTTTCCTCACCCCAGGTAACAACCTAGAGGTCTGCTTATGCCTGCAAGATCAAGGGGGAGAATTTCTGTCTCCATGCGTTTTTCCATTTCAAAAAGAGTTAGACATTGATTACATCCAGAGTCCCTTATAAAGGGGGTTGTGTGTGTTTTTGTCTGTATCAGGGAGGCAAGAGGTGGTGTCAGTGAAGCTGGCCCTCTGAGCATAAGCACCTGCTTCACCTTCCTGCCCTCTAACAGAACTGTAAAGATGCAAATCAACTCTGAAGGGCAAGTCTAGAAAATGAAGCGAAAATCATGCTTGCAGGCTGTGTAACAATGGGATCAGAAATGTTCACATATATTTCTCGTTGAAGAATTCAGCTCACTGATGAGAATTAAATACGTTTATGAATAACAAAACAACTGTTTTCCAGTTTGAAAACTTCAATGATTTTTAAAGTTGTTTTCAGCTGTTTAAATAAAGATCTCTTTCTCTCTCTCTTTTTCCTCCATCTAATTAGGAAGATTAAGGAGACAAAGAAGCAAAAGAAAAGAGAGAATTAAGGAAGTGCTTGAAAAAAAAAATCTCAAGTCCTCTGCACTGCACACTTGTGTCTGGACAGCGTGAACCCTGCCTTACAAGTGGTGCTGGCGAGAGACAGAAAGTTCATTTCCATCATTAAAGCCAGACAAAGTGGCTTGAGTACAGCACATCCCAGACAATTATTCAACCAGTAAAGTGTCATCTTGCTGTATGTTTTTCCATTTCTCAATGATACTGCCCAGAGACCAAGCTGAGGAATGCTAACAGCTGGCCGCATTCACCTCTAAAATGTTTTTTATATTAGATTTGCCCATCAATTTGCTTCCCAGTGGGATGAAGTTTTTTTCTTTTTTGTTGAAGAGGAAATACCAGTTATTTATAGCAACTAAAGGAAATAATGAACGGTTGCAAGAGCCACTGAATCACACGCCACCGAGTAAACACTGCTATAAACAGTCATTTTCAACAACAGCAGGCTGAGACGCTTGGGCAGACTGGGTCGTTCAGCTAGGTCAGGTCATCTCAGGAAACTTCCAGGCTGTTCTCTCTGCCTTCCCTGCAAGAACGAATCTCCATCAAGACATCACAAAATGGTGCAATGGGCAATGCTGGGCATTTTAGGTCTTACTCACAGCAATCCTACACTTGGGTCTGATAGCTGGGTCGTGTGCAATGTCCTTTGCTTACTTTTACAGACAAAACTGAAACAGTAGTCTAGAGGATCTCATTTTAAAAAATATTGTCAGCATTTATGACTCTTTTGCTTGGATTTTCTACCTTTCTTGGTTGTGGAGGGTGGAGCAGGAACCCCTGAGAAATACTACTGCTTACTCTGCTATTTGTCATCCTCTAACAAGGAGACAAAGGGGGGAAGCTCTTTGTGTCTATGGAAGACCAAACATAATTCAGTGACTAATAAAAATGCATTCTTTGTTCATATAACAAGAATAGGACATATTTATAAATAAACATAATCCACAATGACCTGTCTGAGTGAGTCCTATTCAGAGGTAGGATTAGAAGGCCTAAAGACAAAAAGAAAAAAAAAAAAAGATCAAGATCAAGACAGAAAGGAAAAGAGAAAGAAAATGAGAGATTGAGATATACAAAGCAATATACAGAGATGGAACCACAGCATGGCAAAGGTCATCTCACCTGGTTGCAGCTCTATGTTCCTAGGGACAGTAAAATTTCTAGAACTCCAGCACCTTCGGTTCATTTCTCAAGGGCAATTCAACTTTTTGTTAGTTTTTTGCTTTTAAAAGCCAAAGGTTTTAAAAAGACCATTCTCTGATAAGATTCACAGAGTTTTAGAAACTAAAAATATTTACAATTTAGGCATTTCCTTTTAACACTGCCAGTGGAGTGCTGATAGCAATGAGGGTATAGTCTTTCAACACGGAAGCAGGCACAAGCCATCACGTGCTAGTGCATGTACTAGCCTGGGGGATGTGAGCCAAGAATCGCAGGCTCAGGTGTCACCTCTTTAGCGAAACTTCACGAAGGAGACCCCACACTCCTCTCTCTAACCCCTGCAGAGTAGTATCTTCACGTAGACTGTGACCTTCCTGAGGGCTTCCATGTCCACTGCTAACACCTTGCTCGCAGCCCTGATCATCCCTTACCTGGATTACCTCAAAAAGCCTCCCCACTAGTCTCTGTATTTCTCTGCTGACCTCCCACACACTCCAAGTATAATCTCCACACAGCAAACACAGTGATCCTGTGACCAGGTTAACCAGCTGGTCACACCTCTGCTCAAACCCTTCCTGTTGCTTCCCTCTTTATTCTGAGTAAGTCAAGGTGCTTAGTGTGACCCATGTGGTCCCCTGTGATTTTCTCTCCATTCCTCCCCATGACCCCATTCTGGTCAAGTTGGCCTTTTTGTAATTCCTCAGACATGCCAAGAATTCTCCTGCTCCGGGACCTATGCCCTCATTCCGTGTCTGGAATGTCCTTATCTGAATGGCTTCCTCATTTTCTTTAGGTCTCTACTCTCATACTACCTTCTCACCCAGAGTCCTTATCTTCCTAAAATTTCAGTCTCTCAACACACTACTACTTCACACATTCCCTAGCCCTTTATCTACCTCATTTCTACCTGAGCATTTATCAGCTTTGAACATATATATTTTACTTACACCTTTATTATAACTTTCCTGATTAGAAACCAAGCTCTAGAGGAAAGAGGATTTTTCTGTTGAGTTCACTATTATATCCCCAGGACTTGGAAGAATGCCTTGCACATGGCACATGGGAAGGTGCTCAACAAATACTTGCAGAATGAAGAAATTCCTCTTCTCATTTTCGGCCCCTAGCACAAAGCTGGTACTCAGTGTCTGCTGACCCAAAGTAAAGCAAGTTTTACTAAATACATACCCTTCTTCTTCAGCAAGCATCCTACTAAAGGCTATAAATTAAAACTGTCATAAAATCCTAAATTTCCATACAAGTATAAGGGGGTGAGTTTTCCAATGCTTACTTTGGTTGAGACATTAGAATGGACTCATTCCAAAATGCATCGGTTTCAATGAACTTGGAATTCATTTTACAAAGTGTTAAATCTCCACCTTTTTGGCTTACAAAAAAAAATTGAGGAAGTATTTTTTGAGTACTAATATAGATATAAATAATATACCCAAACAGATCTAGAAAAGTATAGAAAGATACATGGCACTTTCACAACTGCTTCTTTGCATATACAAGTAGATGTCCACAATGGAAACCTCCCTCCCCCGCATGAAGGGGTAACTGGACCTCAAAAGCTATTCTTATCAAAGCCTTGATGCAGCTTCACCAACATTTTCTACCAAGAGGTAAGCTATTTCCTGAACACTACCAAAGTTTTCCTTTTTATCATGGCCATAATGAAATGTAGCCATGGCCTCCACAGATTATCCACTTAAATGTAATAAAAATGTAAAGCTACTTCAAAAATTTTGCTTCTTTATTGTGTACTTTATTTCACTTTTCAGCATGGCCCATTTGAAGTCTTCAAAGCAGGCAACTTGAAAATTTTCTCAAATGTCAAAAAGAGACAATACACCCTCATTTAGTGATTTTGGGGCATCCCAAGTCACTTACCAGGCATAATAATATTAGAAAAACCCAACTTCCTTGTTATGGACACTCCATGAGAAAATACGGATGAGTATTCTCTTCTGATTTGTTCTATGTCTCCATGCAATAGCTGTAGGGAAACTGCCAAACCTAAAAAAATAAAAATTAAAAACAGATGAACAAAGGATTTGAATGAGCCCAATTTTATGATATCATTGCTTAACCTAAGGGACCTAAGGGCTAACAGTCAGACAGAATAAATAAAATCTATAGGGAAAACTTCCAGAGAATATTTTTCCAATGTCAGTGTCTGAGCTTTCCCACTTACATGGAGATACATAGCTATTGGGGAAAACTTAAGCAGAACCTTAAGTAGAGGAAGCCTGTCTCCACTCCTCTGCTCCAGCCTCAGTCAAATGGGGAACATCCCTGACCCATATTCATTCCAGCATGAACTATGTCTCCCTAGCCCTGGAAGATATTGATACCGAAATTAGGGTTTTCAGTTTTTTAGCTCTATAAAGCCTATGAATACTTACTTATATATCAGAAGGAACAGCATCATTTTGAAAATGCATAATGATTCCAATCCTGATGGAAGTTTTCTTGAAATGTAAGTAGCAAAAGTGATTACAAGGAAACAAAGATTATATTCTTAATATTATCTATAGTAGAAACTCATGATGGCATTATTTTTTACTGCAGAGAATTTAGTAAGATGCAGGAAACAGATAATTGGAAATGTAGTCAGTAAAGTCGTAAAATTGTCTAGTTTTTGTGTTTTACCCCAATTATAGTGACATTATCACAGTGGGATATACGGATGATGAATGACACTTTCATATATTAGTTTCCCAATTCGCAGGTAGGAAGTATAAAAAGCAAATTAATGTCATATCTTTGCAAATATGTTTGCATGTATATTTCAAAGATGCTATTTTTCTTTCAGCACTTAAAATTCCTTCCTCATTTCTTTTATTCTTTTACAAGACAAAAAAGTCCCTTGCCTATATTAGTGACAGAAAAGGAAACTGTCAACATTACTTCTTTTTAAAAATTTTCATTCATCACTACACAAACTCAGTTTAAAAATGAATGTGGATGACAGAGTCAAGAAGATAATGAATCTGGCCCCCACAGGTGCTCATTCTATGACATTACTTATCAATATCTTTCCCTCAGTAATGTACACATCATGTCTAAGTTATCAGCCCCATTAACAGCTAACAATATTACAATGCTATCTGAAAACAACCATGTAAGAATGACAACAATCATGCTCCATTGAAGAAGAAATGCAAAACTTATTGGCCACACATCTAGAGTACAATAGGATCTTCATTTGCCTCTTCAATAATTCAAACAAACTAACCATAACAACAACAGTATTTTGCTGGTTTTCTTGCACAGGAAGAGGTGCAATAAGTAAACAAAAGGACAGGGACAAAACTACCTGATTGTACCTTCACTTTCCAATGTCCAGCAGAATGTTTGCCTCAGAGAATGGTTGATTAAATTAATTATGGCAGATATTTGGCGCTTTAAATCTGTCTCCCATTTTCACCTAACCATCCCTTATCTTACTCTCTGTGTCCACCCTATTTAGTTTATGTTGGGCGAATGAAGGCAATGAAATGAAAGAGTGTTACAGATTGAGTAGGAATGGTCTCCCCGAAACTCATTGCATGTTTAAACTCTGATGTTTTAATGGTCATAGATGAAGGGTGGAAACTTGAGTTAATATGGTGTCTCAGAGATGGGTCTGGTTGTGGTCTTTAGGCAATTGGGGGCATGCCTTTGGAGGGCTGATTATTTGAGTTCAAGTTCTGTCTAGCTTTTTTCAATGCTTCCTGGCTCAATGTGATCATTCCTCCACACCTGCCGTGACCAGCCTCCACCAGACACTGAATTATAGGACTGCCCAATCCTGAACTCTAACCTCTAAACTGTAAGCTGAAATAAACATTTTCTTTCCCAAGAAGCTCCCTTTGGATATTTTAAAGTAACAAAAACCAGATTAATACCATGAGCATCTGTATTCCCATAGCAACATGGAAGGAAGGAGGGGAGAATAAGCTGTCTGGAAGACATGATGGAGCCAACGATCAGTGCAACTCCAGGACACTTTCGTGTTACTGATCCCTTTTAAAAACCCCAAATGAAGAAAAATGAACATGTGTTGTAATCCATCTGCTGCAAAAGTGATTTTTTTTCTCGACTACCCTCAGTTTGTCACTCTTTTGTCCTCCTACTTCTGTCTTTTTGCCTTCAAAATACTCACCCACACCCATCACCACCACCATTAGCATCATGAAGCTGGTATTTGTAGAATACCAGTGTGTGCCAGACACGCTACATAATAACAGTCCCTCCTGCTGGGAGAACACTGTTCAGATCCTGGAGTCCTATATATATGCAATGCTTTCAGTAGAGAATAAAACAGATTTAACAAAATATTTGAAATCCCGTGATTTTTGCAAGAGAAAATCATTTTACAGGCACTCCTCATAGAAGATCTGATCAGAGACACTAGCAACATTATACAGCATGTATAATGGAAGAAGAGAAAAAAAATCCTCAACAGCAGTGAAAAAACAAAGAGACCATGCTATTCAGGATAAGGGCTGGAGAAAGGAAAACTGACCAGAATTCTTGTTTTGCACTACAGGGAGCCAGCGTTCATTTAACACACAGAGATGTTTTTTATTTTCATTTTTTTTACATAAGCTGCATTCTTTACAGAAGATAAGACAATGAAAAAAGAAAAGCATTCAGTGAGACAATTTGAATCCTGACAAAAATTAAAGAAGGAAAAGGAGAAAAAATATGTTTCAGAGGAAGGCAGGTATGGGAGAAGAGTAAGAATGAACAGATTATATCAATGTTCTCTAGATAGCAAGAGCCATGGAGAGGACAGAGTCCAAGAGGATAGAGAGGACCCATTTAGGAGGTGGTAGACAGAGAGGATCCCACTAGTGGATGAAGGAAGAGTAATGGTGGGTAAGGGGATAAACAGACAAAATAGTGTAGGGAAAAGGAAACAAGACACTTAAAATGCATCCAAATTTTTGACAGATATGAAAGTTTTCAACCTGAAGGTTGAAAGAAATGTAGATTAAAGTCGTAGGTATAATTATTTCACCTGTCTAGCCCAGTGAGCATAATTTGGAGGGGGAGTATTACCATTTGGAGGTGACTCAATTTCCCTAGAATAAAGAACTCATAATCAAAAACTGGAAATGTCAGCTGAAAGAAGGGACTGATCACAACATACTTGCTCTGCCCAGATCAACTCATTCCATAAAAAGAACCACAACACTTAACTAAAAATCATCTAAGAGAGGGTGTACTCTCAGTAGACAAAGAAAAAATATGGCACTGGTGGTGAGTCCACAGGGATTAGTCCCCAACAGCCACTGCAATGCTATGGATTTTCCAGCCAGGGAAACTCCTGATCCTATTTTTACAGTGATCCTTAATCATCATGGCCACAATCATGAAGTTGGATAAAATGAGTCACCAGGGACTGGCGATGTGGCACAGTAGGCTAATTCTCTGCCTGTGGCACTGGCATCCCATATGGGTGTAGGTTCAGATCCTGGCTGCTCCTCTTCCCATCCAGCTCTCTGCTGTGGTCTGGGAATGCAGTGGAAGATGGCCCAAGTGCTTGCCCCCCTTACATCCATGTGGGAGACCTGGAGTAAGCTCCTGGCTCCTGGCTTTGGATCAGCCGAGCTCTGGCTGTTGTGGCCATCTGGGGAGTGAACCAGCAGATAGAAAACCTTTCTCTGTCTCTCGCTGTATTTGTAACTCTACTTCTTGAATAAAGAAAAAAAAATGTAAAAAAAAAATCACCAGAACAAGAAATAACACACTAAGACCAAGAAACTCATCACTACATAGGAGAGACTGAGCAAATATGTATACATTCCTTCTTAAAAAGTTGAACTCAGAAAAGCAGAGGGCGGAATGATGGTTGTCAGGGGCTAGGGAGGAGGTACAGAGGGGGTCTAAAGGGTACAAAGTTGGTTAGGGAAGACAATTAAGTTCTGCAGATCTATTGTGTAGCATGATGACCATAGTTAATAATAATGTATTTATATAAAGGAAAATGGCTAAGAGAGTAGAGCTTAAGTATTCTCATTACAAAAAGTATGTAAGGTAGTTCAATGATTAATAACACCCTCAATAATTGACTTAATCAAATCATTTTACAATGTATACATATACCAAAACATAATGTTGCATATCATGAATATAGAAATATATGGATAGATAAACACACACACTTTTTTTTTTTAAAAAAAGATTTATTTATTTATTTATGTGAGAGGTAGAGTTATAGAAGGAGAGAGGGACAGAGAGAAAGGTCTTCCATCCACTGGTTCATTCCCCAAACGGCCAGAGCTGGGCCCATCCCAAGCCAAGAGCTAGGAGCTTCTTTCGGGTCTCCCACACTGGTACTTGGGCCATCTTCCACTGATAGCAGAGAGCTGGATCAGAAGAGGAACAGCCGGGACTTGAACCAGAGCTCACATGGGATGCTGACACCACAGATGGTGGCTTTACCCACTATGCCACAACACACATGCACTTTTTACCTATAAATTAAACCTTCACTCTCTCTACTGTACTGAGGGTTGTATATTCTCTTTCTATGCTTTGAATCCTTTTTTTTTTTTTTTTTTTGACAGGCAGAGTTAGACAGTGAGAGAGAGAGACAGAGAGAAAGGTCTTCCTTCTTCCGTTGGTTCACCCCCCAAGTGGCCACTACGGCTGGCGCTGCGCCGATCCACAGCCAGGAGCCAGGTGCTTCCTCCTGGTCTCCCATGCGGGTGCAGGGCCCAAGCACTTGGGCCATCCTCTACTGCCTTCCCTGGCCACAGCAGAGAGCTGGACTGAAGAAGAGCAACCAGGACAGAATCCGGCACCCCAACCGGGACTAGAACCCCAGGGTGCCAGCGCCCCAGGCGGAGGATTAGCCTAGAGAGCCACGGTGCCAGCCCACACTGGTCTTTTTCATTCACTCCTTTATAACCATGAAATGAAATGCAGGGTATTTTTTTCCATTGCATTTCCCCTTTTTGGAGTATTCCGGCTAATATGTCAAGCAATAACTTTGCTTTGTTGATTTCTTTTTTCAACTGTGC